ATTGAGCAAGTTCAAAAGGCCAAGTATTATTCCGTGATTCTTAACTGTACTCCCGATGCAAGTAAAGAAGAACAGATGACATTTTTCATAAGATTTGTCTCCATACAGGAATCAGAGTCTGAAGTTCAAGTTAATATCAACGAACAGTTTTTGGGTTTTCTATCCATTGAGAGATCAACAGCTAAGGAATTGTCGGAGGTTTTACTAGAAGAGCTAGAGAAAAATAGCTTTAAGTAGAAAAGATGCGCGGTTAAGGGTATTACAATGGTTCCAATATGAGAGGAGAAAAATCGGGAGTACAAACAAGAATCAGAAATACAAACCCCAGAGCATTTTATGTTCCATGCAGCAGCCATTCGCTAAATTTGGCTGTAAACGATATGGCAAAATCCTCATTTGAGGCAGCCAACTTCTTCAATATTGTTCAAAAGTTATGTACATTTTTTTCTTCCTCTTCTTTTCGTTGGGCAATATTACTGAAATATAGGTATTGATACTCACACCCTAAAACCATTGAGTGATACGCGATGGGAAAGTCGAGTCGACTCATTAGAAGCTCTGCGGTTTCAAATTGGTCCAGTTCACGATGCTTTGTACAGCATATATGAAGATTCAGAAATCGACAATATGATCAGAGACGAGGCTAGCGGATTATTAAATAATTTGAAGCAGTTCAAATTTATATGCTCTGTTGTGATCTGGTACAAAATTTTGAGTCATATTAACCCCATCAGCAAACTTTTGCAAACTGTAAATTTTAATATGTCACATGCTTAGCAACTGCAAACTCTTCTTTGAAAACCTGAGATCAGATGAAGCTTTTGAAAGCATCATTTTAGAAGCAACCGAGCTTGCTTCAGAGATTGACGTGGAAGCTAATTTCGAAACCACCCCACCACGTCATCATGTCAGAAGCAAAACAAGAACGTTTTTGTATGAAGGTCCGGATGAACCCGTTCAAGACCTCAAACAAAAATATAAAAGAGATTTTTTTTTCACACTATAGATCAAGCAATAAATGCTTTGGAAACCAGATATAATTTGCTAAATACTCACAGTAATTAAATCAGCTTTTTGTATAATATTTTTGGTCTAAAAGCCATGCCCAGAAATGAGCTACTGGCTCATTACAAAGATTTGGAAGTAGTTTTAACTGATGGAAATTCAAGCGATCTTAACTCCCTGGAACTAGCCGATGAAATAAGCATTGTTTCGTCATTATTAACAAAAAAGGAAACCCCTGTTGAAGTTCTCAAGTTTATCGCTACACTTAAATTCGCACCAAACCTCAGCATAGCATTAGGAATCCTACTTACATTGCCAGTCACTGTGACTTCAGGGGAAAGAAGCTTCTCAAGACTAAAAAAATTTAAAAAAATTATCTCAGAACGATGCAGACGCAATTATAGTTATAGAACACCAAATTAGTGACAAGTTAGACTTGAAATCACTGGTTCGTGAGTTTTCCGAAAGAAAAGTTAGAAAAAGGGCATTTTAATTACTTTGGTTAGTTAGAATTTATGTATAATATGGGATATTAGTTAGCATTACTACATTTTCATTTTTGTTATTTTTCATTAAGTGCTAAATTGCTTATCTTGTTATCTGATGATTGAGTTTTTAATAATACGTTTTTTTTTATTTTTAATTTTTAATGTTTTCTTGACTTTTTGATATGGTCGCATAAGATTTACTTTAAAAAAACGAGGAGGAGGGGGCGCAAAATTAAGGTTTTGCTGGGAGCGACAAAATGTCTAGGGCCGGACGTGCACTCGCTTTTCGTCCAGGGACCCATAAGGATGTTTTTTTAATAGATAAACAAAATTAGGCCTCGGTAAGCGGGCAAATAGGTATAATACACAGGAAACAAGATTAATTATATGATTTTTAAACCAGGGTGAGTTTGGAATAAGTGGAACACAATTGTGACCAATCATGCTTCCATTTTCTCATATTGTTGGATTCTATCAAGGCAACAATAGCTGGGCTACAGATTTTAGGAATGGTGTTAATTACTTTTTTTATTGCACATTTTGCTAGCAAATCAACATATTCATTGTGTCCAATATGAGCCTTTATTCATATAAAGCATATCTATACGTTATTATTTTTTAGTTGGAACAATGTCTTTTTGATCAAGAAAATGTGCATTTTATTAAAATTAATTTAATTTGGGCCCCGTATATTTATTTTAGTCTGATTTTGTTGTTTAATTAATTTTCTTTGGGGGGGAATGTTTATTTTTGCATATTATTTTTTGCATGAAGCAATTTCTGGAACCAAACTCGCGTTTTTATACACATTTCTTTCTAGAGGTAAGTAATTTCCAATTTATTAAGAAAACCACTGTATAATGTGTGTGTTTAATAATATATTACACAATGACTATAATTATTTTAGGTGAATTGGAACAGAGATCCATTGTTACAGCTACTTGTGTTCATTAAGTAGGTAGATGAATGTCTGGACAGCTTTAATGGCAGCACAAAGTTCCTATCTACTAGAAAAGTAAAATGTATGCTGAGTAAAAAATCTGCATATGTAGTATTGGCAAAGGACTTTTGAAATGATTAGAGATTAGCTATTTCTTACATACACCTACCTCTAACAGCCACTCCAAAGGAAGAAAAAAAAAATTGAATCACAAAAGGGCAGAATTTTAAATTAGGATGCATTGGAAAATAAATTTGGGGACATCAGGTCGGTTTTGGATTTTATAGAGAGTTCAATCTCAAGAAAAGTTAATTTATCCTGCAGAACAACCAGTAGTTTAAGTAGGATTTACTATAACTTTATTAGAAATTTTCTTTGATAATAAATTGTAATATAGGTACCAATTATTGTTTCAAATGAAATTGAAAAAGAGTTACATATGAAATTAGATTTTTCATGAGTAAAATGTTATATTCATTCGAACATTGTAAGGTAATCTATAATTAAGGGAATATGGAAAATAGGTATACCCTGGTGGTGTAAGAGAAAGGTAAGGGGCAATGACAAAAAAATTACAAAAATGTATTTATCTTTAAATAGTGTTTATTATTAATAATATTATTTGCTATGTTTGAAAAGTACCTCCTGCTTCTGAACAGATCGAATAGATTAGACTACTAGTTGGAGAAGGTCCACCTAGTAACCAAATTAGGAGACTAGGAAAACTTTTACATGACTGGGGACACAACAGGAATGCACACACACAAGATACACAAACAAACGAAATAACAGGGGTAAGCCTTTAGCAACGTCCTGTTTAAATGATGATAGTATGTCATCCTTCATTCCCTTTTAGAAGGCATGACATATAAATCTATTGATCTTGATTACTATAAGAGGAGTTAGCAGGTTTCGATCCAGTTTACAGGATGGGAACTTATTGACTCGGGCCTTATACATTTGTGTTGAGTGTATGTGTGTTTCGTTTCCATGGTTTCTATTAAAATAAACAGTCATAACATATCCATACCTCTTTGCCAGACTATAAGCGATATTTGTTCAAATGGCACATACGATAGTCTGGCAAAAAGGTATCGATACTATACTTTATAAAATATTTGTTACATTAGTTTTTAAATATATTATGAATATATAACAACTGTTACTTTCTTTGTAATTTGTCACAAAATGATACGAGGTACTTTCTAAACGAAGCAATTGTAGTTTGTTTTTCTGTACCTTACAAAAATATAATTTATAGAAAAAGAGTTTGGTGTATTATTTTTCCAAGTTTAAATATTTAATAATCAATAGAATTTTCAAGTTTTTTTTTCGCGAAATTTACAAGAGTAATAAAAACTATGTTCACTGTTTATATTAAACTGATTAAAACTTCCTTTATTAAAATGATTATTTATGTGATAAAAAATTTGATGTTATTGGAAGCTTTTATATTTTTTTAATATACAGTGAAACAATAGTTTTTGTTTCTCCTGAAAATTTGTATAGAAAAACTATTTCTGAATCCATGTTTGAATTTCCCGCCCTAAAGCATTTTTAATTTTCCCGCTATTTACTAGTGGCGCCATCATAGACTGGTTGTGGTTACAATCGCCCAAATAACTTTTACCGAACAAAAAAAATACATTGAGTTACACGTCTCGCTGGATTGTCTCTGAGAAAAGTTATCAGGTAGTTTGAAAAGAGCTTAGTATTACAGAAATAGTAGAGGAGACCATGGGAGGTCGACCTTCACCCATCTGATAACCAGATGAGGCATATTTTTTATGAAATTTTATTGATTTATTAACACTGCTATGGGAACTTGCTATTCGAAAAGTGTTCATGTCTATTTTTAATTAAATAAATTTTGATCAATTTTTTTTATAACCTTCCCAAATTTAATTTTAACATGGAGAATATGTCTCAGTAGGTTTGTCTACTTAATTCTGATCATGGCTACCTGGCAAGCAGGTATGAACAGGTTAGTCAATATAGGTAACTACACCCATATGTCAACCAATAAAACTTGATATCAGGAGAGAGATAATTTAATTACGAAAATAATCGTATAGGTTTGCCTGCAAAAAACTGTTCATGGAATACTCTTGCCATGCTTTAAAGTTTTAAAATCGGAGCAATTAAATATATGCAAGAGAGATAGTAAAACGTGCGAAGTCCGTTGACAGGTGACAGGACACAACATAGCAGCTGCGCGTGACATGTCCGTTGAATGTGAATGCGCATGCTATTTTACATGCGATTGACAGATAAAGTACTTATTTTGGAACGGCTGACAATAAACTTTATTTCGATTATAATTATTATATTACTATAAAATACCTATACTTACAGGTATATAATAATCATGAAATAAATAAATTAACAAAAAAAATACATATATGAAAAAAAATTTTTTATCTAAAATTTAAGTAAAAAAATGTTATTATAATAACGGAAAAAAATGAATGTTGAATTATAATATTCAATACATTTATGGTATCAAAAACGTTTATTACAAGGCAAATGGAATACATAGAAAAATAATATTATAAAATTTGTAATTATTATTTAAAATCTGAATCATCTGAAGCATCATTAAGATCTTCAGACTCTGATGATTCTTCTTCATTTACATTTTCCGTCATTTGCACGATGTCATTATTTATTTTCAAAGGTGTTTGGTCCCCAACAAATCCAATCGGTTTTAAATAACTATTTTCTAAAAGACAACTGCAGTTTTCAGGGCGCAATTTTATACAGTCTGAATCGGTTACATGAAGCCACATAGAATTGACATATATAGTTCTCAAAATTTTTTGCATTAAAGAAGACCAGCACGGTGGCATAATGTTGGAGTCGAAACTTTTTTTTTTTTTTTTTTTTTTTTTAATTTTCATTGTCTTCTTTTGCGGAGTAACTGTTTTGGAAAATTCAATACCTGGCATCGTTCAAACTAGTGCAATGCTTGATACCATACATATTAGCAGTAAACTTCTGAACAGCCTTCATTTTTTCATTCATGAAAATATCAGCTTCGTCAAGTAATGACGCAAACATATTTTGGTACGTCTCATTTTTTGAAAATTGTTTGTTTTTGGTAAAAAGCTGCTGTGTAATCACAACCAATATACGCATGAAAAGCTGGTAGGCTTCGACATAGTGTAGTTCCTAATTTTTTAGCTAAATCAGTGCAATTAATGCAATTGAGGTCTTTTGTGTTTTTTTTTATTTGCTGAACTTGCTAGCCAAACTTCCAAAGGATCAATTTTGTGTATGTTTCCAAGTAAAATTATCATGACATCGGTATCGGAAGATTTTATTAGAATCTTCGATCCCGGTGTTACTCTAGATGCGTGAAAAATGATCCAGGTATACGCCTCTTCATGATCACATATGCATTCACTTTCTTTATTTTTGATCATTTGATATTGCTGCGCTTGATAGGTAACAACAGTTTTGAACAGTTAAAATATTTTTTTCTTTTTAATAAATGTCATTTTCCCAATAAATAGATTGAACCAAGGCCTCCTTGAATCTATATTTTTTCAAACTACGTAAAAAATCTGGCAAAACCTACTTTGTTGAGGTCCTGAAATATTAAATGGAATATCAAACTCTAAAAGAGCATGCGCATTGGGTTACATTCAACGGACATGTTGCGCGTAGTTGCTATGTTGTGCCCTGTTCTATCACATAGACTTCGCACGTTTTACTTTTTCTCTCGCACATATTTAATTGCTCCGATTTTAAAACTTTAAAGCATGGCAAGAGTATTCCATGAACAGTTTTTTTGCAGGCAAGCCTATACGATTATTTTCATAAATAAATTATCTCTCTTCTGATATCAATTTTTATTGGTTGACATATGGGTGTAGTTACCTATATTGACTAACCTGTTCATACCTGCTTGCCAGGTAGCCATGAACAGAAATAAATAAACAAGCCCACTGAGGCATATTTCCTATGTTAAAAACTATCTGTCAAAATTAAATTTGTTTGGTTATCAAAAAAGTGAAGGTTATAAAAAAATGAATAAAATCAATATAAATATAAATCAATATAATAAATAATGTTAATAAATCAATATAATTTCATAAAAAATATGCCTCATCTGGTTATCAAATGGGGTGAAGGTCGACCTCCCACGGTCTCTTAGACTAAAATGATTTACGTACAAAAATAAAGTGTACAAATAGGTAAAATTCATTTATCCCTCGTAAAACATCAGTAAAATATATTAGAAATTGTTTTCGTTCAAAAATATAATTTTTTAAAAACAGATGCGCCACTTTCCAGACGAATAATCTTGCAATGTAAGGTTTTCTTAGTATCCCACTTTAAAGTTTATATGTGACTATTTTTAAAAGAAGCAAAATATGTACGTGTAGGTAAAGGTTAAATCTATGGCTCCTCTGAAACCACTCTTTCAAAATTCAATTTAGTTTTTTCTAAAAAAATTGAGAAAATATATAAAAAAGTAGAGTTTTGTATTCTTTATTTTTAGAAAAACAATCAAATTTAAAAAAATTGTCTCCAGAGGAGCACAGATTTAACCTTTACCTATACGCACATATTTTTTCTTTTAGAAAAAGTCAAAAATAAACTTTAAAAGTGGGGTACTGCGAAACCCTTGCATGCTCTCCCTAAGCCAAGTAAATTCTGCTCTTAGAAACTGAAATTATATATTCCGTGAACGTTCATATTTCGTCAAAAATTACACCTAAATTACTTACTGATGATTTGTATTCAAGTTGCTGATCATTATTACAGTAATTTGGTGCAATCCTATCAGGTTTACGGGAAAAACTTAGATAGCAACATGAATTTACATTTAATTAAGTACTGTTTGTTTTTATTGCACCAACCAGCTAAATAATTCAAATCCTCCTGAAGGAGTTCTTGATCGCAAATGCTCTCTACAGTTCTCCAAAACTTGAGATCATCTGTAAGCTATGCACTTTGGCTATTCAAAAATCATTCACAAAAATGTTAAATAATCGAGATTCGTCAAAATTTAAGCTTGTTTTAAATAGATTTTCAAAATAAGCAAATTTAGATAATTTTATAATTTGTTTATTCATTCAACGATTATGAGTACTTACTCTAGAAGTTCTCGTTCCTTTTCTTCCGACACATGATCAATTTTGTCGTATTCGGTTCTTAACATTCTTTAAAAAAAAAAACACAAATCGAAAGATAAAACCGTTTTAAGATTTTAAAACAGAATAATTGTAACAATAGCTTCTTCCAAACTAATGTTCCCCATTATAGGAGATTTTATCTAATCTTGTTTGAATATTTCAGATATTCCAGCTCTCGAGAGTAGGTACATACATATGTATTTTGTTAATAAAGTAATTATTAATGTCAATATTGAGACCACTAAAACCAGAAGTAATTAGATACATAATCGGTACGTAGGCGAGGTCGATATATTTTTTTAACAAAGGATATTTGAATCTGCAAATCGATTACAAATACGTAATAAAAATGTAATTCAATGAGAATAGGCGCATTTGGAGTCCTGGAAGTAGCTGTGTTGTAATATGACTGCAATGATCAAAAATCGAAATTCTGCTATTTCTAATTTAATAAATTATCATTATCGCCAATAAATGTACCTTTTATCGTAGATTATTTTTCATCTTGTGCACTTTAAGAGAGTTGGCTAAAAGTATTACACAAAAGATAAGATTCAAAATAGAGTAAATACAGATCCCATTGTTTTTCTAATTCAAATAAACAATCTTTATATAATCTTTCAATTTACAAAGTGTTATTTTTTCCGATAATTATTCTTTGCTTGATTATTAATCAAACTCAAATAACGAGTCATTGAGAAAAATCATAATTAGAATGGGCTGTGAAATTTAATTATTTTGGGTTGATACTGTAGCCACTTCCACAGAAATACATTTATTACTTAAAATTTTCATTGTAAACAAATGAAATGATACTGCATCAAAAAAAAAAAAAAGAAACAAATAATTCATTTAATATTGAAATCATAATCAAAATTCACATAAAACTAAAAAATAATGATGCCGCGAGACGAGAGATTCTAGTCTCTCGTCTCGTCTTGTCTCGTCTCAAACGAGACGAGAGAGATATTTTCTCTCGAAAACAGATTCAAGACGAGACGAGAGAGTGTCATCTCTCGTTTCTCTCGAGCTCTCTCGAACAATTTTCTCTTTGCTTATTTGAAATTTTCTCTTTGCTTATTAGAAATTTTCAATTGCTTATCGTAACTTAAAATTTTAACATATTAGATTTCGAGATAGTCAAAAAATTAACTATAACACACCTATTCTATATATATATATTAAATGGTAACAAATGATACTTGTGATATTAGAATTTTATAAATAGTGATTTATAAGAAAACATATTTCTCTTTTCATTTATTTAAAATTTATACAATCATTTCTTATATTTAATCCATTTTGCTTTTCTGAGGTTACTTTTGAAGATTAGTTGAACATTTTTAAGCGTTTTCTCGAAAAACTGTCAAAGAGAAGGTATCACAAACAAATGTATTATATACAGTAAGGACGAAAATTGGATCCTCCTCTATTTTAACTCCTAAATGAAAAAGGATAATGACTAAACAAAAACGAGGTAAAACTCATGAGATATTATATTTTTGTTATAACGAGATGCACTTTACTTGAGACACGTAAGATAGAGGGAATTACTAGCTTTTAATTTTCTAATGGAAAGTAGGGTCATGTGATACCTTATTTGAGAGATATTTTCTACATTTTTATGTTCATGTAAACAGATTTAGGTTTTTATGTTTTTACAGAAATTACATTAAATAAATTTATAAAGTAGGTTAAATTCTTTTTTTATTTACCGCTTCAACCTCAAAGGATCATTACCGGAGGTATAATACCTTCCAAATGATGTTTTTTTTTGGCTAGTACAGAGTAAATGTCAGCATCTTTTATAAATTTAAATAATTTTGTACTGTTGAGGGATTTAACACTGCACAAATGGCAATTTTTGGTAGCTGGTACTTTGTTCTTATACAGACATGTTCTGGGCCTTTACTAATAAGTTACATTCTTGATAACTCTCGTATTAACAATTATTGTTTATTACTAAGGAAACGCTTCTTGTATTTACTAAAATAAATAAATTAAGAATATTATTATCAAAGGTGATTTAAAAACCACTTGACGTATTAAATTTTTTATAATTTCTTGGCATTAAAAGCTTATTAAAAAATTCTCTTCTAACATTATCTAACATTTCTAGGATTATTGGGGCACACGAGGATTATCAAGAATGTAATTTTTATAAAAACAAAAAAAAATAAAACTGTTTGCTTGGACGTAAATATAATCAAAATTCGAGAGACGCTAAAATGGTGGTTCCCACCTTATCGAGACTGAGGCCCACAAGGGTAAACTCGTAGCGTAACAAAAACGAGAAAAGATTTAACTTGGAACGAAATACCGAAAGCGGATAGTAGTATTAGCACGTTGAATTTTTTGGTTTGTGAAGCATTGGCATTACTTAGGTTAAACCATGTGATTATTTTGGTTAGGGTTTAAAAACATGTTCGAGCAATTTATCCAATAATAATTGGCTCCTTTACCTCTTAAGCCTGCTCATGTAAAATATTTGGGCTTCTTACTTCGCCTATTTATATTATATTAATAAAGGACAGAAGGATGAGTATTGCAACTATGTTAAAAGAAATAAATAGGCTTTCAGTTCAGAATTATGGTCAGTACATGTTTGATATTTATTTATAAAATAAAAATGACATAGTACCATCGCATCAGATCTATTAGAAAAAATTCAATATAATTCGCAATATCACAACTATAATACAAAAAACCAATCTGACTTTCATGTACGGCAAGCCATCACTAAAAGTTCTTAAAATAAAATTATTATTAAAGGTTTAAAAAAATTTAATAGACTGCCTACAGAAATAAAAAAAAAAAAATAATAAATGTATTCAAAAGTAACCTCAAACAATACTTGATAAATAAACAGAACGGATATACTTTCTTGTTATAATACTCTTTAAACCTGCCCTTTTTAAGTATTTCCCTTAATTTATTGTAATTTTACCCCTCGTTTTATCCGCATTTATTATAGATTATTTGTTTTGAGATCATGTACTTTATTTTAAAAAATTACTTATTTAAAAATTACTTGATGGTATATTAATACCACTTACTATGTTTAAATTTATTAATAGTTGTGTGAAGATAGGTTATAGCAACTTATTGCCACAAAACTATTTTTGTGTTAAAGTAGATCCATAGAGAGCAATGTAATTTACAAAGGCCTTCTTTCAACATCATACAAATAAATGACAACTTTATAATTAAAATGAAAAACAAAACAAAATACCTTGGTATCATAAATGATTCAAATTTGAAATGGGCATTATATCCTACCCACGATACACAAACAACGGTATGCCGGTACGCATGTAGCAGTCTATCTCTCTCCCACAACGTGACGTCACCTTGGATTCAGAATTTTAAATCTTTAATGTAAAATACGTATGGAGAAGTACAATTTCGGTCACGATAATTTTATTTAAGTTTTTAATAGATAGTTTCATATCTGCGGTAATAAAGTATAATAATTGCTATTTGCAAATACAATTTGTGTGTGTTTATTCATTGTTTATACCTATCAGGCATGTGCTAAAAGCGGATCGCGGGAAGAATATTCTGGGATAGCTCGACAAAAATCTAATTTTTAAGTTAAATTATATTTAAAAATGATCTATAAAATATATAATTTTCATTGTTTAATAGAAAAAAAAAAATATATTTCATTGTAATCAAATAAATTGTTTTTTAAGTTAACTGGTGATATTATTTATAACTATTATGTAAAAAAAAACCATTTTCGTGGAAAAAATTTTGCAACATGTTTTATAAATATCAGAACTACTATGGTAAGAAAAATACAACAGATTTAGAGTTTTTATTTGGAACAATATTGTTGGTTAAACTTGTAGTTTCTAAAATAATACCTAATTATTTCTTATTTGTGAATTTGGATAGCTTTTTTTCCAGTTTTCGTTTACAGTTGTTGAAACTTATCTTCCTGTTAATATCCCTTAATCTAATATACGTTCGTGTTCTACTTAAACACAAAATTACTTCAACTTGCGCAACTTGCGTTTGGCATTATGTGAGAGCTGATATGGAAAGTAGATTTATAATCGCACAAGGGTGGAAACTGGAAAGTAGATTCCTATTCATACGCGTGTGATGATAATAAGGGAACTTTCCATAAAAAGTGTGATATGTGTCCCTTTCCTAAGTGGTCGTAAATAGGAGCTTGTCTTAAAACACCTACCTATCTCATTTATCATTTTTTAAATTAACGGTATCTAATAAGGTTCTTACTTACCATTTTTTAAATTAATTTTATCTTCCCGCCGACAAGCTTGTATCCACTGCTTCGCCAAATCTTCATTTTTTGGAAATCCAAAGTATTTTATGCCCGTTCCTTGTGTTTTTCTGTTATTATTTTTACATGTTGCCACTGCACAGCTCGGCATTTTTCTTAAATTGTATGCTACTTTTAAATTGATATATTTACAAATTAAACGTACGTTGTAATAGTTAACACATAAACAACAAACACAAAGACTCACTACCCGATATTATACAAAAATCGAACAAAATTCTAACAATAACCATTTAAATTTAAATGTGACATTTATGTTTTGAATCCATAGTGACGTCATGCGCAGAGATGGTCGAATTTGAGTTTACAAATCAGCATACCGTTATTTGTGTATCGTGATCCTACCTCTCTTTTATATAATAAAAAAGTGCTTTGTATAAGAATATTATATTATCTGTCTTGCTGTACTTTTATTTATGGAAAGCCTGAATTGAAATATTTATTATTTGCAATAAATATCAAAAGAAGTATACATTTTTAAATAATTTGACATTTAAGAGCCATTCACATATCACAGTTGACATCTTGATACTTGACAGGCGCAGCCAAGCATTAGTCGTTTTCTTTTTACAAGCATTCTTGACTAACTAAAAGTTAGATTCTGATCTAAGTTTAACAGTAAAAAGAACGCGAATTTTGGTTGACAGGTGACGTGCCCCATGTCATCCGTTTAAAAACAATCCATATTTTAATCAAATTTTATAATTTTTTCAACATTCAACACTACAAATCTCACCCCCTGTTATCATAGTCTTTTATTCTCTAAAATAATGAATTCATGGGATATGTTTGTTCATATGATGCACAGAACACTCACTTTCTGTGATGGTTTATGGTTGACGTCAAGTACCATGCA